GGAAGATGTAGAATCCTTCACATATCTGGGAAGCATCATCGATGAACAAGGAGGATCAGATGCAGACGTAAAGGCGAGGATTGGCAAAGCAAGGGTCGCATTCCTACAATTGAAGAACATATGGAACTCAAAACAACTTTCAACCAATATCAAAGTCAGAATCTTTAATACCAACGTCGAGGCAGTTCTATTGTATGGAGATGAAACGTGAAGAACTACAACAATCACCGTCAAGAAGAAACAAGTATTTATAAATAGCTGTCTACGCAAGATACTCAACATCGATTGGGCGGATACCATCAACAACAGCCTTTTGTGGGAGAGAACAAACCAGTTGCTAGCTGAAGAGGAAATTAGGAAAAGACGATGTAAATGAATAGGACATACATTACGCAAATCGTCAAACTGCATCACGAGACAAGCCCTAACTTGGAATTCTGAAGGGAAGCGAAAAAGAGGAAGGCCAAAGAACATATTACGTCGGGAAATAGAAGCAGATATGGAAAGGATGAACAACAACTGGAAGGAGCTAGAAGGGATTGTCCAGGACAGGTTTGGATGTCGAATGCTCCTTCACGAGGAGTAACAGGCGTAAGTAAGTAAGTAATTATGGTTTACAATACATATAATTTAGTCCTTAGGATTAATAATAAATGAATAATAATCTAACAGTGAATGGTTAGACAAATTTAGTATGCTTGAATATAAGATATCATATACAGTTAGACAGTTTTAACACCTTATTTTTAGCAACATTCAACTAGTGAATACTTATTTAGTAAGCTTAAGTTTAGTTTCTGTAACACAATTACATTATTACCTAATACGGTTCAATCAGAAAAAAATATGTTTGATCGTGGTAGCATTCATATACTCACATTTCTGTCAATCATTATCAACTCATAATTCATCACGACAAAATTCATATCACTACTAAAAATACATTTATTAAAATATTCGACTGGTCATGATTAGGTAATTATTAAAAAAAGTGGAACAATACACTGGATACTTACTTTGAGATCATGGATTGCTGTTGAAAACTAAAATTCAAAACACTTGACGACTTTTGTCAAAGAATTTTTCTAATGAAATGAAATGTTTTTTTTTTCATTCATTGAATTGGTAAGAATTTTTTCCGATTTTTTAATGTAAACAACAAACTTTACAGTTCAGTTTGTCTGGTAAATCAAAGCCATGTGAATAAACTTTCCGATCAGTTTGTTTTAACATTAATTTCTAGATCAATAACAAGTTTTATTTGTTTTCTAAGTAATTACTAAAAACATCCACTTGAATGCCAACTCTGTCTGAATTATAAGCAAAGATGGATGAGGGCTAACAGTGGAATTCAGGATGCGCGTTTCGTCCTATTTGGGACTCGTCGGTTGGATGTACCTGCATTTCAGAACTGTTATTCACTCCGAATTACCTTACATTAATAAATTATAAAGTTGTTTAGTATTATTTCAATGAAATTCGGGAATCTCCACAACCCCATACATCCTAAATAAATATTATGATTTCAAGAAAAAGTCATTAAGTACAAATAAATAAAATGAGTGTAATTCTAGAAAATTTGAAATTCTCCTTCATTTTTCATTTGTTTCAATGCAATTTATCTTGACAGTCAATTTGTCGGAAGACTTTTGAAAATTGCGTCTTACCTACTTACTGTACCTCAAATATAAAAGAATGTAGGAAATCGATATATTATCGGCTGAGACTTCACAAAAGTAATTATTTTCAATCCAGTGGAATTTGATGAGGATATCTATGTGAAGTTTTAAACATTGTAGCACTACACGTAAAAACCTGAATCCATCTAAGTTAGATCAACATTGAAAACCTGGAAGTACTAGACGGCCTTTTTCTCTTAGTATGAGACTACTCAGCACTGTGTATCTACAACCCCACACATGAGAATCAAACCCAGAACCTTCAGTCTCGCACTCAAGTGATTGGCCTTTGGACCACTGAGCTTGAATCCAGATGTGTTAATGTCTAACGTCAGTCAATTGACGACATTGTGCGATCATCTTTCATTGTCTTCAGTCGACAACTTCCTCATACCCAACACGAGTTAAGTCTACGGATCACAGTTTTTCACTTCAATTAAATTCAACAATATCCACAGCCTTATACCAACAAATTTTGTTTTAGTTATCTGTATGTTAAAACGTCCGAAATAAAGTTCACAGCCATAACATATTAAGGTAATTTGAATAGAAAAAAGCAGTCAATAATGAATCAGTCATATTATTTTATTCATAAACTTCTATTGTAATCATTGATGTGTGAATTATAGTACATACAGAAATTGAATTTAGAAAATTGATAGATTTATCTACTCATTATAAATTCCTTGAAATGATGATTATAATGAAAATGAATCTCATACCGACAGAGATGAGTACGTATACTCCAAATATAAACAAGACATCAAATATTGAATTTCACCTCTTTGGAAATGAACACTGAATAAAAATAGTTCCATTTTTCTTCATTATCAATTTAATAGTAACAATAATGTAAGTATCTATGGTCCATGTTAATTTTTTTTCAAATCTTAGTAAATGATCACAAGTGAATTATCGTGGAAGGTCCAAATGCGGTAAATTGATGAGTGAATTGAAATCCTACATAATTTATCATATTCATAGTAGAACTAGAATGAAATTATATTTCCAACGATTGTCGCTTCAATCATTTCAATAAATCCAACTGTGGGTAAATCAGAACATATTTTTGTAATATAATATGAATCATTTTTTGATTGAAATAGATTTACACAGAGGGGGTTTGAATTTTCGTATGGCTAAGGCTTCAATAAACCTTAGTATACACCCTTTTACACTTTTATACAACGCAACAAAAGTCGAGTTAAGATCAATCTTATGTGTTTGGCAATACAGGATGATGGATGTTTATCCTCTACTCTTATTGGGTCACCTGATTCTATTTGTTTAGGTACATGTTCACACACCCTAACTTTGAGATCACGATTACTCCTCCCTATGTATGTGTGACCACATACATTTAAATTGGTAAACACAGTGGGATGTGACACAATTGTTTCTTTGTCTTTTAAGTTTTCGATGAAACATGAACCTCGTTGCTTCCTTGATAATGACCACTGCACAGTACGTCTTGTTAATGACTGATTTAAGCCTTTGTTTCAATAAAAGGCTATTTGAATCACCTCTGAATGGTAAGGTGATGTAGACAGGCTTTTTTCTGCCAAGGCTACAGTAGGTCTCACTGTACCATGGACATTCCATCTGTTTATGAATTTCAGAGGATAGCCATTTTCCATTAATGTTTTATTTAGCAACTTAACATTATCATCAATGACGTCATTTGTACAAATGCGATCAAGCCTGTTAAATATGCACCTTATAAAACCTCGTTTGTATTGCACGGGGCAATAACTATGATTACTAAGATATTGACGTATGCACGTTGGTTTTGTACAAATGAAGCATCTTCCCGTCTACTTGGAGGTATATCTACGAAAATTCAAACCCCCTATGTGTACTCATAAACAGTTTGCACTCACCTTAAACCTACCCTGGTAATATGAGCTTATTATCCAGAGTGATGAGGTTTCAAATGGTTTTCATATTATTTCTTTATTATCCTTGTCTCTTCTTGCCCTTCATTTCTAGTCTAGTTGACCTTTTATTTTTATATATAAATGTTCTTAACAAGTCTATTACGTGTGATCAGATTGTTCAAAATTGTATTGCGTTAATACATCACATAGTTCTGGTCATCTTCGTCTTATTGCACAATAGAAATTTATCAAAGGGACTAATTGCTTCAAAGTATATTTACCCTACATATTTTTGTTTATTTGTTGGTATTTGCGGATCCTGTAGTGTGCATCCGTTATCATTAGCTGTACCATTTTTCTTCCACTTTGCTCAGCTATTCCTCATACAAATGGGCAGTTGATTGGAGGTCTATATCTTACACTTGTCAGTAGAACACGCTGGCGAAGATACTCGTGGAGAAAACACAGTTGTTCGCGAGTGGAAGCCTACATTTTAGCGAAATTCTCCCATTTTCGAACAACGAGAAGCGCATTACGCTCATATAAGCGTAATACCCTACAGATCTATTCAGTTTCGTATTAGAATTTTATACTGAAAGTGGTCATATTAAAACAATATTTCTTGTGGTATTCCATAGGTTTGTACACTAAAATTTTGACAAAATTCTCCTGAACGAATCATTAGTTTTCGTTCTGAGATAAATTTTTAGACAGTTTCCTGACTTTAAACTGAAACAGTTGTCAGCATTGGGTTGCTGTACTTAGTTTCCTACCTCCAATAAGTGAGATAGGTGTATGATTTCAGTTCATAAAATTTTGTTTAAGTCATTTACTCGAATTAATATTAGTTATAATTTTGTTCATTTAACACAGCTGAGGGTGGTATCTCTATTGCTCTAGACTGTTTAAATGCACGCAGTTATGAGCATGATGACAAAGCGCGGTTTGTCACAAGTTTGAACTTCACACTTTTAGTATAGCTATAGTGTTGGTTGGAAAATTGTTCACCAGCTTCTACTTACATGCAAAGCATTTAAATATGGGAGTAGAACCTGGGAGTCTGGAAATATTCCAATCCAATTCAAAAATATCAAGTAAACACGAGGTGTGGGACCGATAGCCTCCGCACTACTAAGAGATGCTTTTACGTTCAGCAACTGAGGTGAATAGAAGCTCACTACAATCTACCGAAAAAAGAATTACTGCGGACAAAAATGACTCCTTTTCACCTTAAATCACCAATCATCTGATTGTTTTATAGCAACCACGTCCAAGAAAGCGTAAACAATTTCAACCTTTATCCACTGAGTTCAATAAGTTCCTCTCAGTTGGAAACACTAAAACCATGATATGTACTTAAACCATTTGTACTATACTTTACGTTTTCCATTTCCATGTAATAATGACAATAAAATTTCAAGTGTGTAAAGTCAGAGACCAGATATTTGGGAAACATAAACAAACATATAATATATTAGGTTTATACAGGTTGATTTTTGCACAAAGCTAAACAAACAAAGCTTATAAACATAACATTACATAGCTGATCATAAGAAAGTGAACATTCCATTTAAATGAAATAAAAAGGTTTTGACATAGTAGTTGAGCAATAAGCAACACTGACAAAGAGAAAAGACACTGAACTACTGAGTAGAATGGCAGTGATCATCAAATCACTTGAAAGTTATAATTATTTCGATAGTTCTGCTTAAGAGAGTGAAACTCAAACAAATTCTCAATAGTTAAAGCAGCATATTCATATCATCCTATTGTGGAATCAGATGTAGATACAACCTTCGTATTCACTCGACTTGATGATGATGCACTTTTGGACTCATTTCCTCCTGATCTTGAACGCCTACTAATGAATACGCTAGACCAATTTGGAAATAACTTTGTTTTTGTGGAGTTCAGCAAAGAAACGAACCCCAAGGCTGCACCTTGCCCACTACTAACCAGAGCTGCAACACGACTCAGAATGGTTTGCTGAGGTAGGAGACTTGCAAGCAGCTGGAATATCCATACAGCACCCAGAGTGATTGATAAATGCAAGCAAATCTTGGCTACATTGCGATTACTTTTATTAGGCAGCTGAGTAGATTTCGAGTCCACACTGGCCACTGATTCGTCTTTGATTGGTTCTAGTGTTTTTTTATGGTCTAACAACCAAATATACATGCCAACCATTAGTAGTATGATAGAATTCATTGCAAATAATGCTGTAGTAGGTACCAAAAACCACAGAATGAAAGCCGCATGCACTGTGAACCATGGTCGCTTTCGATATTTCATTAAACAAAAACCTGGATTGAAGTTTGACATTAGACTTGAAGTTTCAGAACAATTGATTCCCTGTGTGTAATTGTCACTGTTCATCTCTGGCTGACACGAATCTGGTTGGTAAACTTGATTAAGAACAAGTGCGGGTATCACAAAAAGTAATGGTAAGGTGATTGCAAATACCGTTGAAAATATGGTACGCTTATGAATAGTAGTCGACTGGTCTCTCAGATTCTTTCGAATCACCATACTCTAGAAACAAAAAAATAGAATAAACTTCAACACAAATTATAATAAATGACGATAAAATTCAACAACTATCAAACAACAAATACTTTTCAATCATTCATATACGTATGTTCAGTAGTTTATTTTATATGTATATTAATGATAGAATTTTCAATTCTATTAATCATGTATTGGTCCATTTTATACTTTCAGTATGAATCCCTTATTAAAAAATGATATCACTCTCTGTTGGCCATAAGATTCCTTGTAAAGTATATTAGTGCTAATGATAATGTAGTCTGTCTTATTAAAACTTACTATTATAATTGTTCATGCTAAGTACTACTTAAAAAACGTGAGAGCGGAAGTGAAACAACTTTTACATAAAATAGTGTTTCAATCCTATGTCGAACTGAAAGCCAAAAACTATACCTAAGTAATGTAAATTATCTGTTATAACTATCTAATATCAAATAGAAAGGCAAAAAAAAGAAATATTCCATCATCGACTTACTTTCATGGTGTCTGAGTATTTCTTCTTCAATGAATCTTCATCTGTACTTTGACGCGTTATTTTAAACTTTATGTATGCTAAGCACACTTGACATGTGTGAATTCCTCCAAAGGTGTTAATCAAACTCAAACCAAGTGTTAACATCCATGCAAAAGTTGCAAGGAAAAAGTAGTGCAATAAAACTGCAACTGTAAGACAACATCCACTACCCGAATTATCTCTTTGATTAATTAGCAATGGCAATGTTAAATAGACCAACAACAAACCAAGCATGGAAGTTGCTAGCCCCATTAACAACTGATTAGAAACTCGACGTCTAAACTCTCGCGTCTTCCCATATATAATTAGCAGCACGCATAGACTGAATGCAGATAGAATGCACACTAGTAACTGAAGTATATCTAAAACAGATTCAATTGTACGAAGAGTTTTACTCCCCTTCACCAAATCATCATTACTAAAACCATCGAATTCAATGTAGTTTTGTGGCAACACTAAGAATTCATGCCATTTAAACTCACTCAAACTGAACACTTCTTGTGTACTTTGTGGCTTGAGAAATCTTTTTTTTCCACATGGACGTCTCCAACTCCTTGGCAGCATTGAATTGGCCACACATAATCTGTCAGTATCATGAAATGTTCGACAGTGCACAAATACATTGAATAAATCAAAACGTTGTAATAAAACAGATCCCGTCGGTTCTTCATATGTAACAGTTGAAGTTAACTCATCATGGCAAATGGCACAATCCAAATTAGCATAAACTCGTCCGTTGACCTTAGAAACAACTGGTGCCATCAGTCGAACATCTTCAGTTCGTATACGAAATGTTAGAAAAGCTAAATCCAGCGAAATAAAATGTTTGTTTTTAGCACTAATATTCGATGTGTGCTTTAGTGAAGCGTCATCAAACTTGATGACCAAATTTTTTGATTTACTGCAACGGTTCGCAATCTCACTTGGTGTGCCTAGTGGACAATGTGCAATAGCTTCAAACCAACTACCATGTTTCTCCAGATCAGCAACATCCGAAAATGTTCTAGCTGAGTGAACACAGTCAGACTTAGGTATTGTCGAAGAATCTACTGGTTTGGTATCTTGACGAAAATTCTTAAAATCTACACAACAGTCAGAATTAATTACACACATTTCATCACAAAAGCAATCACCAATTGGAGATTTACAACTTTGAGGACTAGGTGTGATAGATTGTGATTTAAATACACTGACTGTTGAATCATCGCCATTTAAATTATCAAGCCATGACAGTGATAAATGTACGTATATTATTAATTGAAACTGAAAAGTATATGACGAAAATCGTTTTATCATTAAAAGTCCAGTTAGAATATTTCAATTATATTGGTTTCATTTATGAATAAGCAACTAATCAAAAATGTGTTTTTTTTATCTGTCCATATAATTATAACAATATATGTTATGAAACTGATATGTTCAAATGAAGAAACTGGTGAATATAAAGTACGTCAACACGCTCTTTCTCAGAAGATGAACAATTCATTTTATTCATTTAAATAGTTGATAATGTTTATGTTTTTATAGATTTTTTACATGGGAAATTAATATGATTGGATGATGAAAAAGAAATATTTGATTGGTTAATCGACAACAGTGATAAAACATGACTTACAGATTGATATCATGAGTCAGTTGAAGCTAGACCACCATTGAAAACCTGGAAGCACTAGACGGCCGTTTCGTCCTAGTACGGGACTCCCCGGCAGTGCGCACCCACGATCCCGCACCACGCGGGGCTCGAACCCAGGACCTACTGGCTTCGCGCGCGAGCACTTAACCATTAGACCACTGAACCGGTATCCAACGGTGTTAATGTCTAACTTCAACCAATCTACGAAGTTGCGCCACCATATACCATTGTCTGATATCTCATAGCTGATATCTCACAACAGACCTGGTTGTACTCCACTGGCCGTCCAGTGCTTCCAGGTTTTCAATGGTGGTCTAGCTTCAACTGACTCATGATTTCAATCTGTGAAAATTTCTAAAAATCTCCACAAACCCCTTCTGATAAAACATGACTTAGTTAAATTATGTTTATTTGTGCTTCAAGTGATGTATTTATTTGAAATGTTGAAAGAGGTCACCTTGGTAATTAATCGGTACAAACTGTATCAACTTTGATACAGTGAATATTAGAATTTTAGAATAATTGCTAAATTATAATGTATGATATCCGAATACACTATTGACGCTATAAACAATATATATTTAATATTGTTCATTTTGACAATATTATCATGAATAGTGTCTTCCCAGAAAAGTGTGCATATTATAAGTAAGTAATGTTCGAAAAGTGAACTTTTAAGTTACCCAAAGTACAACAGTAAACTTTAGCAAGAATCATTCAGTAACTCTCTATGGATTTAAGACTTGAAATGAAAATTAATATATTTACTATAAATGTATCTATCAGTATGTGATTGTGGAGATTATTAAGTTTTTGATTGAGATCATGAACCGATTGATGTTAGACCACCATTGAAAACCTGGAAGCACTGGACATCTGTTTCATCCTATTATGGGACTCTTCAGCAGTGAGCATCCACGATTCCGCTCACGAAATTTGAACCAAGGGCCTTCAGTCTCGCGCCCAAATGCTCAACCTCTAGACCACTGAGCTGGCCGGCATCTAATAGTGTTAATGTCTAACTTCAATCAATCCACGAAATTGCGCGACCATCTTCCATTGTACTGAGGTAGATACCTTTCTCTGCCCAGCCCAGCTGTAAAACATTAATACTATTCGGAAAGCTTTATTTATTTCAAAGACATTTATATAAGTAAAATATGACCGTTCACTACCTACATTTAGAAGTGATCAATTTTGAAAATAGATCCATTCCAAGATGAAAATTTAGACAAATTTACAAAGAATTACCCAGTAAATTTACATGTAGAAAAATTCAGGATATAAATAAAAATTCTTGAACTTCTTAAGCTAATCATATAATAAGAACAATATATAATTTCTAGGCAAATAATGACTATGTCATCACCAATAATGCAGGTTATTATGAGTAGTTTTATTCATCACATAGTGACTAATTAATTAAGTTATGATGAACAAAGACGAATTGTTGGCTAATCAAAAGAAAATAAACGATTAAGTCAATTGATAATAAATATTTTTCAATATCTATGTACATACTACTTTTAATGGTATCATAGATTAATTCAATTTCACTGAAAAAATAATCTGAGGATTATTTCACCAATTCAAGTATCAGATTACCACAATTAATCTATCCATAAAAGATAACAAATCATAATAGTCGAGGTTTATTTATGGATCTATATGTAGTACAAGAAATTTGATCACAGCTACCAAATGATAGAAATAGGATTAGCAATAAGCAGCACATATCAAATATGAATAAAGAAAATATGGCAAAAGTATGTTCATATTCCAACAGAATACAATGATTCACTAGAATATGTAACTTATTTTATTTTCTTTTGCACAAAAGCAGTTCTAACATATATAAGTGTATTCTGTTCTTTTAAACTTAATTGTAAAATAGATAAAAATGTGTCAACTTTAATGAGTATGATCAAATTTGATTTGATTTATTTTCAAGTATTTCATTGTGACCAGTACAAAATCTACTTACACCAGTTACTTCTCGTCAAGGAGAATAGATCACCCCATCAGCATTCTACATCCAACTCTCTACTCAAAAATCCTTTCCCGTTATTTTCAGTTGTTATTCATCCTTTTCATGTCTGCTTCCGATTCCCGACGTAGTCCGTTCCTCGGCCTTATATTTCTCTGTTTCTATTCACGATTACAATTTAGAGCTTGCTTCATGATGCAGTTTGATAATTTCCGTAATGTGTGTCCTATCCACTTCGAATATCTTTTTCTAATTACCTCTTCATCTGGGAGTATAATTCATTTCGATACTTGAAAACATTTCTGATCATTTTTATAAGATACAATAAGCATCAGTTGTTCGTGTTTCGAGATCTGATCGAATTATACATGTCGCCAATCATCATATATAGTCATCAACTTGAACCACGTTAGTGAATAACAGAATTAAATAAGTCAAATACGGGAATGGATTTTTGAATACGTATATTTTTTACATTGATTGATCTAGACAAACAATCAGAGGAACGAAGCGAAGTGACGCGCAATGGAGAAGGCATGTGAGCCGAATCGATTTAACCAAGCGTGAGTCTTTGTTTATAGTCAGACAAAAATAAGTTACAGACGTAAGATAAGAGATGAACACGCATACGCTTATATAAAAGCAGTCAAAGTTGATAAGCGAATAAGTGACAAGGTCAAAATGTAGCTTGAGAAAAATGGATAAATTGGCCTGACCGGAAAGTAGAATAAGGAATGTAGGCTCGACATAGCAACCGACACTACAAATTTTATTATAGACTAATATGTTCCAATAAACTATAAATGCGAATGTACAGTTTAAATAGTGTAATTGAAAAATTTTTTTTCATTGAATGGTCATTAAATATTAGCCACTGACTCATTAGGTTTTGTTTGTTCGTTTACTTGGTAACGCCCTAGATGATTTAAATTTGTTTGGTTAAAATTTCTTCTTTTGAACAAGATCTAGATCTCATGGCTACGGGATCGATTAATTGTTTGTATTCTTTTGCATGGTAAATAAGGCAGTGAAAATGTTTTTAAACCAATTATTTAGTGATCTTTTGGTTGATTCTCTTCACAAGATTATTAAAGAAAAATAATTCAGTAGATTCTCATAAACTGCTGATACTCTGAATCAGGTAAATGAAATTTATTAAACAGACTGCAATATATCACAATGTTACGTAATCCAGACTGAAGAAGTTGTGTATAGAATAAATAGACTTATTAGAAACATCACCTAAATATAGGATAATTAGAACGATATGATAGTAGGATGAAGGAAATATTAAACGGAAAACATGCATTGAAATTAACGTTTCAGTAAAGTAATCACTTTTAGAAGATATTGAGTAAATGTTTATAACACTATGGATCGGTAATTTAAATTATTAGATTTATAACTTGGAAAGAATATTTTTCTTCAAAATCAACTGTTAGATATGAAATATTTAGAAACTCATTTTTATTTAGTTTTTTGTATTAGTCTGAACGATGGAGATCGAATACAGACGTAAAGGCAACGATTGACAAAGCAAAAACAGCATTTCTACATTTAAAGAACATATGGCACTCAAATCACCTGTCAGCCAACTAATATCAAAGTCACTATCTTCAATACGAACATCAACACAGTTCTACTATACGAAGCGGAAACTTAGAAAACTACCACAGCCTAGTCTGCAAACGGAACAAAGACTTGTAGTGTCAGTTATTATTTTGGGCCCATATACCTTATTCTAGCTTTCGGACATTCCATTCTATTCATCCTACTTGAGTCATATTTTAACCTTGTCAATTATTCGCTTATCAGTCTTGACTGTTTTTATATGAGCGTATATGTGTGTGCCCTTCTTATCCCATTAATCACATGTCTGTAGCTTTATTTTTTCTGACTATAAATGTTGAGTAACGCTTGACTAAAATGGAGTTGGCTTCCCAGCCATCCTCCCTGCGTGTCATTTTGATTTGCTCTGTTTCATTCGCTCCATATTCAAAATATATGTATTCTCAAGTCAATTCTCGTTATTCGACTTATTTAATTCCGTTATTGACTAACGCGATTCAAGTCGACGATTATATACGAGAATAGGCGATAACAATCATTTATACGATCTAAATAGGAGTCAGATCCCCGGGCCACTAAAAATGGTGAGCCCTTCAACGAATATCGTAGATCTAAATGAGGACGAAATCAAAATACGGGCCACAAAAGACTCTGTGACCCAAGACCAATAAACTCGCTGTCCTGATGTGTCTCAACCCCGCTAACTAGAGAGAGAATTCCAAGTCCGAACAAGGAAATATATTCCGCAAGCAGCCAGAAGCACGAGCGAAGATAATAGGCACAAATCAAATGTATATATACGGCATAAAACTGACCTTGGGAAGCGTTACAAAGTAGCATACTAAAAGATACAACGAACCAATAACGTTTAAGATTCTCCCAAGTGGGAAATACGACATGAAGGTGAAAAGAGCGCTTCTGGAGCGAAAACAAAGAAATTCGAATTTTCAAAATAAAATTACAAATATAAGGTATTTACCAAGTGAGTTCTGAGAGTCTAACATCCCCAACACCATCATCAAAAATGTACAAGTGTTTATAAACAGTTGTCAATGCGAGATACTCAACTTCCGTTGGCTGGATACCATCAGCAACAGCCTTCTGTGGGAGAGGAAAACCAACTTCTAGATGAAGAGGTAACTAGGAAAAGATATTCGAAGTGGATAGGACACACATTACGGAAATTATCAAACTGCATCATGAAGCAAGCTCTAAATTGTAATCGTGAATAGAAACAGAGAAATATAAGGCCGAGGAACGGACTACGTCGGGAATCGGAAGCAGACATGAAAAGGATGAATAACAACT